TTTTTAATGACTTGATTTTTACCGCTAATCGGTGTCGCACTGGAGCCGACTTTTACGGTAATAGCGAAGCACTGTTATTACGATAAAGTAATTTCTGCACAGTGAAGGTTAGTAGTAATATAATATTTGTCCTTAGAATTATGCAGCAGTGCTGTTTAGCAGAGTAAAATATTATTTTATTATAAAGTGATTTTCTTTTCTAATTTCAATTTTTACACCAGTATTAAAAAAATAAAAAAACTGGGGTGAAAACAGAAGTACAAAAAGTGGTTGTAAAGCTGAAAGTAAATGTACATATTAATACCTATTCCGTTATTCATGTTACGTCTTTTATCCATTTTTTTTTCCATTCAACTCGGTATGGCCTCCACTGGTGACTCACCAGAGGTCGCAAACGTCAGAATGCGTACCCGTCCCTTGGTTAGTTCAACGAGAGTTTGGATATTCGTGACCGTCCGTAGTATCCAATTGGATGGCCGATAATTTGACTACGGTTAACTGAAATCTGACCAAGATGATAGAGTGATCATTTGTCACTCTATCATCGCTGTGTGTGTAGTACGGTTAACATCCAACTCTTGAAGTCCATTTTTCGTTTGAAGCCCTTCACGAGCTCTGCCATGGTCTACATACCTCATAGAAAATGGACACAGCTTTGGGATCCATCGTTGGGCTCACACGAGGGTCAAGCACAAACGGGAGAAGCGTGAGTTGCAGTATTTTCAAGCTCTTGCTTATGGACAACTTCACTCCTGAAAGCATAGAACTACTTGTTCTAGGCAACCGCGCAACAATGATTCAATTCCCTTTACACACAATGACGTTGCAGACATTACAGATAAATACTCTTCTGTGCGTGTTGCCGTGGCATGGAGTTATACTCACGGTGTATTAAAAATATGGATGCCGTGTGATCCCACTGATCAAACCATTCCCAGATGGAAAAGCGCACTTCACAAACTCCAATATTGGCAAGCACTATCGCCTTACGGGTCCCAAAGTCGCAAAGCGGTCATGGGTCGTGATCACATTGGCCTCACTTTGGAAATGAATCTGAATAACTAAACACAATATATGAGCAGACCAGAGAGGCTTAGTCGGTGAATTAGGAGAGCTGTGCAAGACCCAGCAGTATCGATATCGTGAGTTGGCAGCCAAGCAATCGCAAGAAAAAATGATACTCTCTCTCTCATGCCTTCTGGAGAGATTTATAGACTAACGCACATCTTTCGCGTGACAAGCTGGAGTTGCATCTAAAAGCTCGGGAGAATAATCCAACGTTACGGTCTCTTCCAACTACGCATCGAGATGCACTCGATGTGCTCGATCATCTGCTTAATTTTGTGTATTCGGATCGCGCCGCGACATTGTGGTACGTATTGTGGGGTACACCTATGGTAATTAGTTTTGAGCTGGTTATTTTTGTACTTTTAACTTGCAAAATTACTATTTAAATCGGATATTGGTGGTTACATCTGGCTAAAACTATAATATCGAAAAGTCTATTTGGCTAGTTTTACAATTATATGCTTGTATTTGTTGGTGAATCCCAGTGTCCGATCCTAAACACATAGGTAACCGAGTCAACTGGCGAATTCAAGCGCTAAGTCATGAATTTGACCGTCAGAACTCAACCTCAATTGCTACAAAGTGATGAAGAGATCAGATTTGAAGGTTTAGCTCAGCGAACGACGGCTTCTGGGCTACTTAAGTATTGGACAATTCCCACACCAAAAGTACTGAATCAATTGTGTACAATGGGATTGACAAGAGTCAATCTGTAGCAAAAGTGAATTATACATTGCCGCCTTTTTTTGTCTCAAATTTCACTAAATGGGCATTATAACATCCAGAAAAATGAAATATCTCCATTTATCTAAATTTTGTGCTAGTCTCCGTCGCTTACTTGGACTTCTTATCTCCTAGACGCTCCGTGCAGAGCAGTACATACCACCCGAACTGAGTCTGCACCTTGGCGAGCTTGCCCACTTCTCCTTCGAACACCATCTTGTCAAACTGCGGCACCATCTCGCCACGTCCAAACATGCCCAGGTCTCCTCCCTTCTTGCCCGAGGGACAAGTGCTGTGCTTTCCTGCCACTTCCGACAATTTCGTCTTTTTGTCCTCTGAAGCGTCGATCTTGGTTGCCTGTAGAGGAGGTCACTCTGAACCTGCAACCGAAGATGAAAGTTGCTTTGAATGAGCAAAAAAAGTGTAAAACGACAAGATCTAGTGTAAACTCCCCAATTGAATACGTGTTCACAGGTAATTTTAGTTTGCTATGAGGCAGAACGAGGTGGAACCGCTTGTCCATCCTTGGACGCTAAACATGCATCATTGCTTGGCCAGAGCTGTAATGTGGTCACTGCTTCGATCGCTTGACATCGGATTTGGGGTGCCAATGCAAAAAGAAAACCTAAAATAAGCCCGAACTCGAATCTTAAAATTAGATTTACATGCGATATATTTTCGAATTATTGCCTTCTTGCATCGCGGCTTTCTCAGCCCTTAGCTTTGACGACGAGGCTTAGTTCGACGAGAAGAAGCTCTGTAGTTCGCAGACCGCGGATAATCCAGCAGGTATGCTAGATATATCGTGATGCTTTTGGATTTTGCGGCATCGTTGAACCGATAGAGTTACGTGTCTAAGTACCAAGACTCTTGACACCCCGAGTGCAACAGTTGCTCGAGCTAGTTGAGTTCGTCGAGAATTGGAAGCCAAATGCTTCGTCGCCAATTAAAACTTCGTCGCTGATACGAGCATCGTCGTCCAGTTCATTAGCATCATGCATCATTGCTGCAATCCCGACCGGTATTACTCTCTGTCATTTGCCAAGCCTTTATAATTACTCTAAATACTCGACATCACTGTCGTACTCTAAAGCCGAATACCGTCACGCGAATCTACGAACCTCTTGGCGCTTGGAAAAATCTCTTGCTTACACTCACGAATTTGAAGTTACTAAAAGATCACCTCCCAGTCCATATGATTTTTGGCTTCAGCATGAACATCTCTCATCTGCTGTATCATGTTGATCTGCCAGTTTATGAGCATTAATTCCATGACTAGCTCACGCTAGCAGCATTGCTTCTGAAATTTTATAGTTCTCTGCACTAGCCTTGATCTCGTTGATGAATGAATAAGAAAAAGCATAATATCTTAGTGCGAGATTCACAATAGAGGGGTTCCGGTGGAAAGTCCAGTACATATTGGAATTGAGCAGGAAGTGATACATGACTTGAGCGAGATAAGCAATCTGCATACGTCCGTTCTGGCATCGGTACGCCCAAATTTGGGTTAGCAACACGGAGCGTTTGGATAACATTACCTGGTAAAGGCTGATGATACCCATGAGTAGGATTTCAATAGCACCTGGTAACATACTCAGGGCTACGCTGTCTGCGTATCGACTGCGAAATACACTGATAATCTGAATGACGCGCGTTGGATCGGCCGAACTGAGGGAGTTCGTGTACTCCCATACTGTGTTGTACATATTGTGAACACACACGTCGCCAGTTGAACA